CCTAAGGATTTAAAACGACTTTCCAATTCAGCTTTCAAAGAAGCTCTCATACGAGCTAAGTCTGGTGTTCTTTGTGCAGTCTCGTTTTTGTCTAAATACTTTTTCAATGCAGAAATATGCGGAATCGCCTCGGATATACAGGAAAGGCCAGAACTTGTAATTTTCGTTATTTCTTCAAATGGTTTTAAAAGATTTATGCACTGCTCCATTAAGCCCCATTGTTGTATCGTCAAATTAGTGAGTGTGTCATGTTCAGCGACATAAAGAGAGATAAACAACAAACGAACTGAGAAACAAACACAAATTGACACGCGCGATAACACTCGAACGCCCCCGAGTCGACCCGATCTCCGCTTACGTGCGACCCGAATGCGCGTGAATATTTCCGATCTCGTTCACCGCGCCAATATTCAAATCAAACTGATCGCGTCAACGCAATAAAGGGCCAAATATCCGGCGCTCCGGCCTAGTAGCTTGCCGAATATCCGGTATCCGGCCAAACTACTATCCATTTCATCTCTAGTCTCGAGGGTCCTTACGCACTACAACCAACGCACTTACTAATATGAGATATGTAACTACTGGTGAATGGCTGATCATCCACCAGAAATAGTCGTATTTGTGGAAAAAACCTTCGAAATTATCGCAGCGAAAAATATTCTGTATGTCAGTTTGACAGCTAACGTGACTTGACAGGAGAGATCGCTTCTGATGAAAAGAGTTATTCCAGAATTACGTCTGAATTGACGGGTTTGTTGAAGCACTGACATTAGTTAGTGCTTCAACATGGACGCCAATGCGACGACATCGTATTTGATATTTCGTTGGATGAAAGTGTCGTCGTTAATGGCATTTCTCGGTTGGCAATCGTTGCGCTGTACTTTGACAATAGCCCTATATATGAAGAACTAATATGTCTGATTCCATTGGAAGGAACGACAAAAAAAACGGAGATTAGACTCAACTACGATTTTTTTGCGTAACTACAGATTGAGCATCCGCTATGATCGGGACACAGGACTGCTCTCATTGGTCGACCACTTTTGAAATTTCATTTCATCATTCATCAAGAAAGTTTATGCGCGCAGATCTCGAGCGGAACTTCAAAATCCGTGATGGATAACATTGTTGAAGTTGTCAACTACATTGCTGGTCGTTCTTCATTAACTCACAGACAACTTCAAGTCATTTTTACAAGAAATGGAAAGAGCATATTTAAATAGTCCATTACATAGCAATATACGCTGGCTTAGTAGCGGTAAAGTGCTTTTCAGTTTTTTGGAATGTTTGGGAGAAATTAGGTCATTTTTGCTAAAATAAAATCAAAATCAAGTATAGATAATAAAGAATGGATTTGTTAGTTGATGTTCCTAACTGATATTACAAATCATCTCGGTGAACTAAACCTTAAGTTGCAAAGATCGGGTGAAACTGTTCTAGATTGGTATGATTCCTGTAGTCTTTTGAAATGAAAATAAATGTATTTATTGGCGATAATTCCTCCCATACATATAACCACTTTCCAAATCTAAAAACATACTTATCCAACTTTAACAATTGTGATAATGCTGCATTTAATAATAAATGTTAAACTATGTGACTTCACTGAAAGAAGAATTTGCTGAAAGAGATTTTGATAAACATGGTCACATATCCTCCTTCTTGATAAAACCCGACTCGATGGATTTCACTAGCATTCCTTTTAATGGTTCTCGCATGAATGGAAAATCAAGATTTTGAGCTTCAGCATATCGAATTTAGGAACTACATGGAAGACAAAATTTGTGAAACTAGGAAGAGTATTAAAAGGTGATCCTCAGGATAAATCAAACAAAAAACTGAATTGTTAGGCTAGGTTGCCAGATACATTTATTTGTCTTAAAGAAGTGGCATTTGAAATGCTTTCAGTATTCGGATCATCCTATATGTGAGAGCATATGAAAATAATTTTGAATCCATAGCGAAGTCGGTTAACAACAGAAAATGTATAGACGTGTGTAATGTTAAAAGTAACTAAACATGAACCAGAAATACAAAAACTTTCGCGGGAACCACAAGAGCAAGGATCACATTGAAAATGTTTCATTTGCTATGTTTCTTTTTGAGTGAAATTTTCTGAAATAATGCTGATCATTTTTTCATTCAACAGTCACCTTCCTCATTACTTTCAACAATTTTTGTATAAAAATTATACAGTTTTTCATAGTGTCACTTTGACTTTGTTCAAAATTGCACATGGACACCTCTTTGTTAAAAGGTTGCCGACCCCTGTCATTGAGTATAACATATACAAGGCTGACAGTGATAGAAGGCATACAGGAGGTTCAGTCATTTACATTAAAATATTTTGAAGTACTACTTCATTGGTTAGTGTAAGTTAGTGGTTTATTAAAAAAAGTATGCCTTGTGATTTGTTTATATTGGCCTTAAAGTTGTACTTATGATTCACTGTTTGAAGATGATCACTTGGTAATCGAAACACGTGTCGAGGTGTTAAAAATAACGATTTGGTGTTGGGGGAAAAACTCCAGTAATATTCTTCAAGTTGAAGCTGTATAGACTTTTTACAGTTTTTTAAAGATTGATGTGATAATACAATTTGTGATGTGAACTATAATGTGATCATCACAGGTGATATCAGTATAGACTAGCTCTCAATTTCAACATATAGTACTAGGTTGAGAAATTTTATTTATGATATAGGTCTCAAAAACATGGTTGTGAATGTACTCGCCCTACAAATTCTACAAATTTCAATCAAATGATGAACAAATGATGAAAATATAAAAAAAAAATCACAGATCCACCCAGAATAACAAATCACTTCAGTATAAATATCAACTATATAGATATTGATAATAAGCGAGAAGTGAAACAATTAAAAGTCGAGGAAGGAACATTGATTTTTATACAATTAATTCAAAACTAGCAGAGGTTAATTGAAACTTTAGACTGGTTGATATTATTGATAAATATAAGTACTTTCAGAAAAAACTTGTGGATATTCTCGATGAAGTTGCACCTGAAGAAAATATGATAATATATCCAAAATTCAAAGTGTGGTGAAACGGATGTGTTGCCGAAGCTATAAGAAAGAGAGTGAACTTCAAGCCGAGAAAACTGGGAATAATATAAACAAAATCTAAATGTAGCTGAACAAAGGATGAGGCGCGAAAAAAGCTTTATTATAAAAATGCAAATATGGAGAATGGGAGTGGGCCTAATGAAATGTGGAGAATATTGAAAGAAATGGTACCCAAAACCGAAAACACGTGTGTTTAAATGAAATTCAAATTTCCGTACAGAAAACCATCAAAGATATCTGTGATATACCCAATATTTCAAACAAATATTATATCAGGAGTTCGACCCTGGCTTTGGTGACTGAACAGTGAACCTTTTACCAGTATCGAAATATTTTCAAATTCAATTGTTAATAGCGAGTAATTACAAGTATATAGTATATCAGTATCCACTTCAAGTGTATTTGAACAGCTGGAGATAATAAGTGAGTTTTTTATACATGTATCAAACGTTATTTACCTGTGAATAGTTCCTGCTGGAAATATCAACAAACCCAGTAATAAGCTCATCAGGCACACCTAACCGTATTCAGGAAGTCGATGACCTGATCGACATATCATGGAATCACAATGGAGTTTTCTGGAAATGAAAACTCCCAAAATCTACCTAATCAGATCCCACAACAACCATCATACTCATCCGTCATATCATCACCTGAATTCCCAAGCAAAATACAAGCTATTATTTTCAACTCTTTAGACTCTTTAGACAACACCAAACTTGAAAATTACCTGATCGCATTGGAAAACAAAATTCAGCCAAGAAACATATTCTCATCGAGAATTTCAAATAACAGAATTTGTATTTACTTATCGAACGAAGAAGTTGTCGAAGACTTTTTAATCAACCAATGTGGGCTCATAAACATAGGCAATACTTCTTTGAGAGCCCGTAAACTGATCTCTCCACATGAAAGGCTCGTTTAATCTGATGTGAGTCCTTCAGTTCCTTCTATCATAGAAGCCTCTTCAATCAATGACACCAATAACCTTCATCAAAATAGGCACTTCTAATGCTGAATATAAACATATCCTGAGTTTTGGCAGGCAAACCTACATTTCTCTTCAGCCGAATGCTACAATTCCCGATTCCGTACTTGTAACACATGAAGAAACAACTTACCGTATCTTTCTATCATTAGACAATCATATAAGCTTCAAAAGTAAGCAAAATGGGCATATAGCCTCAAAATGCGCTCCTTCAAATATCAACCCAACTGTGTCGAATGGTGTAACACTTCTTTCCACGGAAAATATCCCACTTTCAATTAAAAGTAATGAAGATACTTCCAATCAGTCCCAATTGAATGAGTTCCAAAGTCCAGTAGAAATACCATCCATCACCAAAACAATAGCCAATGCAAAAATTTCATCTGATATCAAAATCCCATCCACCTTCGCCAATCAACCAACATCTAATCCATTAATAATTACATCATTTTCACAAGATTCTGAACAAACACCTGACAAAAATCCTGGAAAAAAAACATCTTCACAAACATTAATTCCCCCACCTAAAACCAAAAACTATCCTCTATTCATTTCACCGACTACCATAACATCTACTAAGAAACCGAAGCCCAATCCATAATCAATCACAAAATCAATGGAACCAACTAGAGGAATGTTCTCAGACGAAAACAAAAAATACATGTTGACCTTCGAAGAAATATCCGATTTCTTCGAAAACGTTCACGGATCTTCACAAACCCTTAAGGTGCGTATTCATTTGCAACAAAACAGTCCTAACGAACAAAGCGCGCGTGCCCTCTGCAACAACATTTTTTCCAGCGCGCGCCGAACAACCTGCAACAAACATTTTTGCCCGGAGCGTTCTGCCTGAGTTGTTCGCTGCGATTATATTTTTAATTTCTGTGTTTAGTAATCAATCTCTTGGTGTTTAGGATGAATGCAAACGATATTGCCATAGCCGCTGGTGCTTTTTTAATAATAGAGGCATTAACGGAGGCTAAAAAAAAATAAAAAAGGAAAACAACAAAGAATGTGGGCAAGGCGCCTATTTTTGCGTCGTCAAAATGTGGCATTACTCAATGACCTAGATCATATGTATATGCAAAATTTTACAAGGATGGGTGCAGAAGATTTTGAAAATCTGATATGTTTAGTAGGTCCTGAAATAGCCAAAAAAGACACAACTTTTTCGAAAGGCAATTCCGGTGCAAGATCGTCTGACAGTCACACTTCGCTTTTTAGCAACAGGGGACTCGTACAGTAGCCTACAATACTTATTTAGAATATCAAAACAATCAATTGAAACCTGCAAAGCACTCGTTCAAGAACTTAAGGATAAAATAAAGGTACGTTAATACATTTTTATATTTATTAAATTTATTTTAAACATTATTCAGAATGTTTAAATAGTTTTGAGAAGTAGGGGGTTGGTTGAAGAAGGAAAGTTGTGAGTGTGGCAGTGTGTTTTGAGTAGAACTTAAATTCGGGGAGGGCTGCTCTGAATAAATGGATTGTGATTGTGGGGAAGGACTAGGTAAAGGAGTAAGGTTAGGGGAGGCTTGATGAGAATAAGATTGAGAGTATGAAGGGTTTGGCACAGAAATTTGTATGGGCATTGATTGATTGGAATATTGAGAAGATAATATTATTTATGTGGTGCTGCACAATAGCTTTGGTTATTTTATTATAGCTCCTTAGCTTATGAGCCACATGTTGACCAAATACTCCACATTCGTCTCTAAGGTCATTATCAGCTGCTGCATTTTTAAGAAAGCCTAAAGCTTGGTCAACTTCTGAAGTTCCTACCGATGGCGATGATTCAACTAATCTTTTACGTTTTTGGATTTGCTTTACAGGAATGGCAGATGTACGTGGTTTTGGAGATACCGGCGCATTTTCAGTTTGTATTTCGGTTTCTTGTGAGTTGGTGGCTTCTGTGGATACATCTCCTTCATCACTTTCAGAAGGTTGTGCATTATCATTTTCCTAAAACACAATATATTGTTAAGACGATTCGCCTGATATATATCGACTTTTGTCGATACAGGATGTTTTCAAAGTTGAGTCATTTATTTTAATGGCTTGTAGGACTCGTCAAAAGAAGTTGAAAGATCAAAAATTACCTATATAAAAATTGCCAAATAAGGCAATAAGAGTTATTTCACGTTAAAAATCATTTTTAGATGCCTAGCAGTTCCAAAGAATGGTTACAGACTAGTAGACAGTATGAAGGAAAGTGGCAATTTCCTCATTGTGTTGGGTCAATGGATGGCAAGCATGTTACAATACAGGCCCCTTTTAACAGTGCCCTTGTTGATGCCGACTACAATTTTATATTTGTTGACATTGGATGCCAAGGAAGGATATCAGAAGGAGGAGTATACAAAAATACAACGCTTTACCGAAAATTAGAAAATAATGATCTAGGTTTGCCAGAATATTCTTCGTTGTCCAATTCGAATAAACCAATGCCCTACGTTTTTCTAACAGATGAGGCATTTGCTTTAACGAATCATATTATGAAGCCCTTTTCTGGAATACATGAAGAAAGCAATCTTGAAAGAACATTTAACTATCGACTAAGCCGCGCAAGAAGGGTAGTGGAAAACGTTTTTGGAATTCCATCAGCAATATTTAGGGTCCTAAGAAAGCCAATATTGTTTAGCCCTGAAAAAACACTAAAAGTGGTAATGGCGGCTTGCTGTTTACATAATAATTATCTGAGGAAAAGCCGCCAATCCAATAATATTTACACTCCTCCGGGAAGTTTTGAACATCAAGAAGACGATCAAGGCAATTAATTTTATCCCTGGCAGTTGGAGGCAGGAAAAACCTTCTGAAACATCAGTATTGCCTCTTAAAAATATTCCAAGAAAATCGGCATCTACAGCTAAAGAAATCCGTAATAGCTTTGCTCAATATTTGGTAAAGAATTAGTTTTGAAATTGAAGTATATTATTTTTAAACATGACTTGTGATTAGATTTACATACCTCAACTGAATCTATTGTTTCTCTTGGTTTATCCTTATCTAACAAAAAACCCATACGTTGGAAAGCATACCATTTTGATATGTATATTTCTTCTCTTTCTACAAAAAAAAGACAATATTTACATACAAAGGGGAAAAATCACATTTTAACAAAAAATTGAATCTATACGTTACTATTAGTTTGAAATATTATTAACTGTTATTAAAGATTTTCAAATTTATGGAACACCCTGTGTATACAGAACTTTTCATAAAGAATACCTTTCTTGTAAAACTAATAAAAATAAGTTTTCCATATTGATAGCTAAGTATCAATATAAACATATCTGTATATCAAAAGTTTTTTTTATTTCATTTACTTAGTAAAATTACACTAATTTCAAAATAACATTTAAATTCAAAAAAATTGGAATAAATACCTCTTCCGGTTCCAATGGATTCTATCCCTTTTGCTTTTTCCCGTCGAAAACTCGATAGAAGACTTTCCATTTCAGTTTCCACCTCTTTTGTTGACACCCCATTTTATTTGAAATCGCCTCCCAAGCATCATGCTTTTTTATTTTATTATAATGACATTTATTTTTTGGATCCCATAACACGAGTTGTCTTTCATACTCATCTGTCAGTTCCAAACATTTTTGCTTACTCCAATCCATATCAATTAATTTTAAAATATTATTTATATCAAATTAATAAAATAATATAACCAGCAAAAACTCAAGCAAAAACCACAAACGCGCATGATTCTCCACACTCCCGTACTAACTGAAGACCGGTGAACGAATGAATTTCCTTAGTGCAAACCGCATTTACCGACAAATCTCGGAAAATGTTTGGCGCGTTCGGCGCGACGTACTCATTAGGGAAATTTGTTCTGCGCGCGCTGCGCGCTTTGTTCGTTCGGACTGTTTTGTTGCAAATGAATAGGTACGCATCTTTAGTGTAGCAAAAATATACACAGACAATATAGATGGACTACTAGACATGTTACAAGATATATACCCGTTTTTCACAGATACAAAATGAGAACTATATGCACTGAAATAAAAAATAAATTCAAAAATCAAATTTAATTTCAGGAAAACGAAGATGGCGAATTATCTCTTGACAACACATACTAAAATCCACCTATATCCTTAAATTTATTTTTTAAATTCAAATCAATTTCACAATGGAATCCGGGTGGCTATTATTGCCATCTAGATATGCTAAAATGCATTTTATCAGATTACAACCCAAATGTTATAGCTCTTCTTTCGAAATACATTTCAAGAACAGCACATAACCTGAAAAACTATCAGTGCTTGTAGAAAAATAGAGAAAATACCAATCATGCAAGCGATGGGATGGCTATCTACGTACATGTCTCAATCGATGTAAAAACTATTCAACTTCAAACCTGTTCTATCATTCAAGATGTGATACCTTTGGTGGGTTCAGAGACACGGCGAAGGTGAGCTGTCATAATAGGGACCTTGGCACCTCGCTCTCCCTCGAGGCTCGACCGTCGGTGCAACTAGCTGATGGAGTCTTGAAATAAATTCCAATAATTATTGTTGATACTAGTTATTGATGCTAAACCCTATCGATAACAAAACAAAACTGACCTAGAAGCCGTCGCAATATCAATTGAAGGTCCGAACTCCTTTCCTGATACTACAAAAATTCACAATTTCCTTCAAAAAATACCAACCCCCAACATTATTCTTGGAAATCTAAACGTTCACAACGACATATGGGGTTCAAAGAAGACCACCATATTTGGCCGCACTATCGAAATAGCAACAGATACTTTCAATATTGTTCTTCTTAACGATGGACAAGGCACACATTTCAATTCTGCTTCCGAAGAGACAGTCGACATAGAGCTCACATTATGCGACGCTTCAACAGCCGTCAACCTTTCCTCGGAAGTTCTCCTATATCTATATAACAGCGACCACTTTCCTGTACTTATCAGCAATACCACTTACACAGAACCTCATATCGCAAGTTCAAAATGGCGTTTGAGGGAAGCTAATTCAGCACTAACTAACAAAAAATATAAAGAATCCGATCACCTGAAATTCCCTAATATAAACGATTTTCTAAAAGAATTTTCAAATATAATACTACAATGCGTAGAACAAGCTATTAGAAAAACATCATATGATAGAAAACGTCCTGCCATACCCTTTTCGAATGATGACTGTAAAAACGCGCTAAAACAAGCTAAAAAATCATTTAATAAATATAGAAGACAGAGAACTATAGAAAATCAAATAGAGTACAAGATACTTCGTGCAAAATTCCGTTACATATTCAAAAAAAGTTGACGATAATGTTGGTGAAAATTCACTTCAGAACTTAACAGCACTACACCTCCTTCCACCATATGGATGATGTATGAAAGGAATGCAAATATCCAAAAAATTCTTTTCCTGAATTGGAACAATACCAAAATACCAACATATCTCAATCACAGGAAATCGCAGAGACATTAGCTGAGCACTATAGGGAATCTTCCAGTGACTGTTCTGAGTAGGTACTGATTTTCTTGTGACTAAATACGTCACTGCAAAAAAAGGTATAAAATTTATAGACACTCCCTCCCCTCTCAACCTACCATTAACGATGGACGAACTAGTCGACGCATTGAACAAACCAAAAATTTTTTTTCCGGGCCCGATGATATCTCAATCACTTTCATTAAGAGTCTACCCAACAGTGGCAAAGAAATACTATTGAATTTATACAATCTTATATGGCAAACAGATTCATTTCCAGAACTATGGCACAAATCAATTACCATTCCGATAGCTAAACCTGGAAAATCTAGATACTCTCCTGAAATATACAGACCGATCTCATTAACCTCTAGTATGTGCGAAATCATGGAAAAAATTATCAACAGAAGACTAGGATGGTATTTGGAGAAACAAAATCTACTAGCACCAGAGCAAAAGCTGATTCCGGAAACATGGTTCCACTCTAGATAACTTAATATCTTTGGAATCCGACATTCATGAAACATTTTCTTGTAAACAAGAATGCATTGCAATATTTTTTGATATCACTAAGGCATTCGATCCTGCATGACGTTACGATATACTGAGGACCCTTGAAAATGGCACACACATGATGTTGATGTTTATTTTATAACAATACATATATTTGTTATGAGACGTTAACTTATAGTTTATGAACTTTTTATATATATTTTACTTTTTTCCTATAAGACGACGTTTGTTTATTTTTTTATGTATTTGCAAGATTTTATAATATATTTGAGGTGAGATGTAAATTAGTAGTTAACAATTTCATATGGCTGCTGAAAAGCAAATCCATGAAAATCAAAAGATAAATAGATAAGTACTATTCTGATCATCCCCATATTGATTTCAATTTACGAGCCACCGTTAGACAGCTGTGTCAGCCTATTGGGCATCGTCAGTACCGGGCAGGCGGGCCTCGATTGGAGACAAAATGTAAATCTGACGCTATCTTGCTAATTGGAAATTTTATCTGTTTGGTTTTCTGTTTGTGTTTTTTGGCAACAGAGACGGGTCTCTGTCGACTTCTTGTGGCTTGTAGCTCTGTTGGTAGAAGTCGCAGCACTCTTCTACGTTTCTTTTTTGCCGTTTATGCTGTGTTTTCTTATTTATTACACAAAATGTAAATAACCAAGAAAAGTACTTGATATAAATAACTGCCAAAAAGCAAGCGAGACATAAGTGGAACCACCTATTGGAGTGATATCCAAGTCAACTTGCCAAATTTGTATATCAGTATTGGTGGTTTGACCAATCAACCAACAACTACGGTAGCAGAAATTTGGGAAGCTATCCTGGAATGCCAATTGAACAGACAATTGCTACGACCCTAAGAACGATACAGAGACTCTCTGAAAGACATTTTGTGTGTGTGAAAGACATTCACAATCTGAAAAAATCAACAAAGGTGTATCAATAGAGAATATGAGGAAGTGTAATAGAGGGCAAACTGAAAAATTCACCCCGAAAAGTTACTGCGTAATAAAAAGCACTGAGGAGTACAATTAGTCAGTAACTTTTCATATTCATAAATTTTACCTACAAATTGAAAACATTTGAAAGAAATCAAATTTCAATACTATGATTTCTTTGAAAGGCATTTTTTGTGAAGGACTCAATACTTCTAACATTTTTTGGGTATATAACCTTTCACAATCTGAAAAATATTGGATTTTTTAATTTGTAGGCAAAAATTTATGAATTCAAGTTACTGACTAATTGGACTCTTCAGTAGTAGAAATATTACGCAGTACCTTTTCGGGGTTCACTTTTCAGTTTGCCCTTTATTGAGCAGATTCTTTATCGATTTAGCTTTGGTTTTTCAAATTTGTGGAAGTTTGAGAACCCCTAAAACATCAAGAAACACGGAAGAGAAATTTATTGAGAATCCACGTTGACACTTTGGTTTCTAACAAACAGAAATGTTCTTTGCCGCTNCATAAATCTGGAGGTAAAAATAATTCAGAGTAAACCAAAAGTGACATAATGACTGAAGTTTTTGTTACCAGATATTCATAAGGACTCATAAGGAATTTAGGATTTAACATCCCAAAAGCCTACTTCTATGATTTTTTCCTATGAACGCCATTCTTGAACCTTCACTTCCATCAAATAACATCCCCCTCCTTCTTTGATTACTTAGAGCATTTTATCAATTAAGTTATTGCAACAAATTCAATAGACTGTCCACCCATCATATCGAACTATGTTTAATTTCTTTATTTTAGGATATGTAGAATATGGAATCTACTAACCAGCCATTTTTGAAATTTCAGAGCAAAATATTCTACGAGCATTTAGAAGTTAAACATTCCAAAACGTCTGAGAGAAAAAATCCAGATTCAGAGGAATTCATTTTGATAATTTGCTTCAGTAAAATACACACAAATAAATTACCGTATTCAAAAAACACACTTTAATGTGAGATTTCCACCTGAAAGTTCACACAACCGTGTCACTCAATACTTCTTACTTGTTCTGGGTAGTATTGTTCAAAAGAACTGGAACGTTCCCTAGTTTGAATCTGTGAAAATAAACTGGTGGCGCCCTCAGCATTCTATATTTTATTATTATTCTGCGACTGCGCGCCGTGCAATTTGTTTTGTAGCGCGTCCTGGGAAAACGTATGTGGCGACTGAGACTCCTCAATATTTTGTGTGAATGAAATTGACCCTTGAGTTTTTGCATCACAACGTCCACCGACGCCGAACGTCCTTTTGTTATTTTAGTTAATCTTTAAGTTATTTCGATTTCTCAGTTCATTTCAACGCAAATTAGCGTCACGACGACCACCGACGCCGAGCGTCCTTTTGTTGTTTTGAACGCAGTTAGTGCTACGACGCCCACCAAGGACAAGCGTCTTACTGCTATTTTGATTGGTTTTTGAGTTATTTTGATTCCTCAATTTATTTGAAGTCATTTTAGCCCCACGACGTCTGCCGATGCCGAGCATCCTTTTGTTATTTCAGTTTATCGTGTTTTAACTTACTATACATAAGAGTTTTTTTAATACAAACTGTCCTACTATGACAACTACAAAGTTTAAGATTGATCAAAACCATCTCACCAAAGAAGAACTGCTGTATGAGTTGATAGTCCGAGGCCTTGATGGTACAAATATTGTCGTTACGGAATTGAGAACGGTAATGTTTTATGTTTGAAGAGGACTTCTCAAGGCAACCAAAAATCCTATATATCCTTATGCTTTCTCTGAGTATTCGTAGTCACTGAAGAGAAATTTGGATACTATAGAATTGGCTATTAATAAATTCTAAGGTACAGAGCAAAATGGAAAATATAAAAATATCACCTCTAAAATTGCGCACTCTATAGGCCGAGTGAATCGTGCTCATCCAGAAAGTGAAGTTGAAAAGAAATTCTTTTCAGACATAAGACTCAAAATTTCTTCTGACTTTTGATAAATTGCAAGAGAAAAGCAAGAAATTTCGGAAAGGTAGGGACGGCCATGCGAGGTACTGTTGGTGATCCTGGAGCTCAGAGCTCTACTGTTGATTTGGATGGGAATTCAAATGAGGAAGAGGATATTATCGCCCGGATAAAAACCGTATCAGTACGTGACTGGGGACTGAGATTCACGGGAAAGAAAAGTCGTGTGCTTCCTTTCGAGGTCTCTAACTGAGCAGGAAAAGAAGTATTCCACGACGGAGCGTGGGTGACTGCCTGTATTGTGGAACATCGAGAAGTTGCAACCATATATCGAGAGTTCTCATTTTACAGTGGTCACTGGTCATTGTATTGGTTGAATAATCTTGAAGATCCGACGGGACCTTCAGCGAGATGGACGCTGAAACTTCAACAATATAATTTCACGTTAGTACACAGGAAGGGAAAGGAGCACATCGTCCCAGATATGCTTCCGCGATCAGTTTCAGTTGTAGATACCGTCGAGGAATCTGACATCAAAACTGATAGGTGGTATTTGAAAATGCTCGATAATGTTTCAAAAAATCCTCTTAGATTCCCAGCGTGACGTATCGTGGGTTCGAATCTTTATAAGGCTGTTGATGCCAAGTGCAAATATTCTTAACTAGTAGATGAAATAGACAGATGGAAGCGTGTGTTATCCAAAAATATAGGAAGTCAGTGTTGAAGAAATGCGACAACGAACCAACTTCTGGTCATCCTGGCGTATTTAAAACTCTTCGAAGAGTTGTGCAGTATTACTATTGGCCCAAAATGAAATCGAACATTCCTAAGTATGTCCGAGAATATGTAACTTGTTGTCATAATTAACCGGAACAAAAGAAACCTGCTGGTTCCCCGCACTGTAGCTGATAAGCCTTTTCAAATCGTGTCTTGCGACATCATAGGACCGTTACCTATGTCGAGTCGCTGATTTGAATACATTTTAGTTATAGTAGACAATCTAAGTTAGTTTATCCTTATAGTTCCATTTCGGAATGCAACTTCAAAGTTGGTACCTTGACGAATTTGAACAAACTACCTTTTGTGCAGGTGGATTAGTGAGTGCAGTAATGGAATTACATCTGAACCTGGATTATTTGCATGATATTCGTTTGTGACTATAATAATTATTCAATTCATTTCTTCAATTCATTTATACATTTCAATTTTAAAGAATATCAGTGAACTTATCAATAACACTGATATACCTATTTTTTTTTGTTATCCAAACGTATACTTTTTTTAATTAATAAGTGGTTCAAGGTGAAGCTTGCTATCTGTTTCTCCGGACAAATCGTCATAGTCTTTACAAATCAAATAAGCATAATTGTATATCCAAGTTATAAAGTGTAGTACAGGACGAAATCCAAAAGAACTGGAGGTTCCCCAGTTCAAATCTGCGAAAATAAACTGTTGGCGCCCTCAGCATTCTATATTTTCTCATTATTCTTTTTTTATATATACATATTTCAAGCCCAGCCTACTCTCCGACTGCGCGCCATGCACTTCATTTTGCATCGCGTTAACGCATTTCGTCCTGGGAAAACTGTTGAAATTTTTTCCGTTGCACCACTTTTATTTGTAACTATCGTTACTGCAGTTTAGTCCTATATGGACATTTTCAAAACTAATACAATAAAACTCAATATAATCATAACCAAAATATCATTGAAAAAGTATTGTCAAGAACTGTAATTTTGACAACTTGTCTTATCTATTTACTGAGTGCCAATTTACTGAATATTTTATTAATACAATGAAATATTGATTCATTTATTCTTCTTCAGTGAAATCTATTTACCGCCCTATCATCAGCAATGAACTAACTCTCGAAGGATTTTTGGTTGCAAGATGGGTAGATAGGTGGGACGAAGGAATCAAACAAAATTTGAAATGGATTAAAGAAGGAAAACTCAAATACCGAGAAACTATCACTGAGGGCTTCGAAAACATGTTTACTGCTTTCACGGATATGCTCAGTGGGAAAAATTTTGGAAAAGCAGTTGTTAAAGTATAGAGTTTATAAATTCCATTGTACGTTAATAAAAAATTTAAACCTTAATGTTTGTTTTTTTTTAATCTTTCAATGAACCATATAGCATATTGTGTTCAGTATTCATTCTGAAAAATACCAATTATAAACTGTTATACCTTTTATGAACTGTTGTTGTTCCTTGGATATAATAATGTTATTGGTTATCGCTGTCACCAATGGAATACCTATGTGTTCTCGAAAAATATGTAGTATGCTTATTCAAATTCAATAACGTTATTTAATTATTCAAAATTACAACTGAACACTATACTTCAATTGTCGCATTCATTTGTTCATCGTCTTTTCCTCTAGAAACTAATCCTCGGACTAATCTATTTTTTCTCCGTGACTCGAAATAAATATACAATGGTAATGCAATATAAAATATAATCTGAACATAAAATAAAGTAATCAGACACTAGGAGTATAATATGGTCAAAATCTCATTTATCTTCGATTCTGCGACTGAGTCGATCCCATAGATGGCGTTTTCATAAAGGGAGATGACCATACAAGAAAAATGAATAAGTTACGAAAGTATACATTCCAAATCGATAATTCGCTTGTTAGTATCCACATTCATATTCGGGTAATGACTAAGTTATTTTCATGATAGGAGACCATGAATAGGTCATCATCACTGATGAATCTGGTAATAGCCACTATTGCTGGATAAAAGATCTATCAAGGTTAGTTTCATCACAAATTTCATCCCACAGGCATAGGATGTATTTTTGTGATGAGTGCTTGATGTATTTTTCAGTTGAATGATTGCAATTTTATTTGTACCACCATTTCGACAACACAAATCAAGATTGATAAATGTGGTAGTCCCCTTCGTAGTATATGCTGATGATTTTGAATCAACTCTGAAGCCTATACATACAAATGAACCGGATCCAACACGTTCCTTCACAAATGAATCATTTATTCACGAGCCATACTCATTCTCATACCGAATTCGTTGTTCTTTCGATGATTCAGCCTCCAAATTTGTTCTATATCGCTACAAAGTATTTGTAGCCGGACTGAAGTCTGACCCGAGCGCCATATAATATCCATATTTGAATTGTATCGTGCCAATGAAGCCATTAACAGAATGAGAGGAGAATGAATTTACAACTGCAGATAGTTGCGGTATTTGTGAGAAACCCTTCGAATTGGGTGATGTCAGAGTGAGAGATCATTGTCACTTGACGGGAAGGAGAAGATATGGAGCTGCACATTCTCGATGTAATTTGAATTACAAGTTACCGGCTATGACAGCCACTTGTTCATAAAATAGTTATGCACTACTAAAAACAAGGTGGATGTTATCGGTCAAACAAAGAAAAATTACATTACTTTCACTAAGCATCTATTGATGAGTACCAGAATAGATAAATTTGGTGAATTGAAAAAACAATTCCTGAAGCTAAGATTTATCGATAGCTTTAGATTCATGGCGTCATCACTGCAACAGTGATGAAAACACGAAGGTGTTTTCCGGAAAATAAAAAAATCCTTTAGATGAGGCAGAAAAGTGTTTTTCCCTACAGTTTTGTTAAAGACTTGATCACGTTAGATTGTACTGAGCTTCTATCAAAATCCGATTTTTATGATCAATTGAATGAGAAACATATATCTGACGATGATTATGAGAGCGCAAAACGTGTATGGTCCTTGTTCGATTGTGAAACATTAGGAGACTATTCAGATCTGTATTTGAAATCAGATGTATTGATTTTAAGCGATATTTTCCAAAATTTCCGTAATATATGACTGGATAAATATAAATTAGATTCAATCCACTATTTCACCTCTCCCGGCCATTCTTGGGATGCACTGCTCAAATACACCGGTGTAGAGCTGGAATTGCTTACGGATATTGACATGATAACTTTTTTCCAAAAGGGTATTCGTGGGGGTATTAGTCAGTGTTCTGAAAGAAAGCATGTTGCTAATAATCGTTATCTGCCATTATTATTATTATTATGCTGAAAATGAAGCATCATCATTCATCACTTACTTGGACGTTGCGAACCTCTATGGTCACAGTACGTTCCAATCATTACCGACAGGTGGGTTTTCATGGCTATCCGAACTAGAAATTCTTCAACTAGATATCATGGGTGTTCCAGACCATGGTCCTAAGGGTTATGTTCTGAAAGTAGATGTCCATTACTCTGAAGAACTCCACGATGCGCATTCGGATCTGCCATTCCTTGTAGAGAGCGTCATTCCACCTGATTTAAATTCCAAAATACCCAAATGAATACCTAATCTGAAGGATAATAGAAAATACATTGTTCATTATAGGGCTTTGAGGCATTCAATTGAAAATTGACTGATAGTGAGGAGTACTCACAGAGTTCTCTCATTACATCAATAACCATAATTGAAGAAATATGTAGACCTAAATACCCTAATGAGAAATCAAACTACAAATGTTTATCATAAACATATTTTCAAGACAAGAACAATTTTTGTCTTAGGAAAAACAATGGAGAATATTGATGATAGGAATGGCATCTGGCTTGTAACTCATTGGGAGTGCGAATGCTCTCATCGCTCGACCAAATTTCAAAATACTTTCAATTTTCTCAGACGAAATTTGTCGTCTTCTACTATTTGTATGAATAATGTAGCCCTGAAAAGGGCTGTTTTATTCTCACCAGAAGGCCCACGGTTAGTGTGTCACAGTATTGTATTGGGATCATGGGTGTTATTCAATTCCATCCCATAGAAGGAACCCTTCACCACATCTTCGAGCACATAACTTATAAGCTCTGTTCTATTTACTTTTACATCTTTGAAAAGTTCAGTTGTGAAGTTTACCGTGACACCTTTTTTGAATACGCCTTTATACCTACTTACCATATCTCCAATTTTATTTTTTTTCACGTTTTCCATGGTGGTTGTACCCCTGGAGGCTTCATGCCAATGGTACGATGAACTTTGTTGTTATTTTGGTTGGTGATTTCAGAAAGAATATTCAACCAACTGTAATGACCTTAAAGTGAAAATTGTCTATAAAGCCAACTTTCCAACCTCCTGATAAACTAATTCCGCAATTGCAGCCTTTTATGTGCTAAATGTTGAGTAATGATTGATACGGTGCTCCATCATTAGCGATGATAATTTTGAATTATAAAACTCGGTACCGTAATCAGATTGTAAGTTCCTCGGGACATGCTTTGCATCTTTCAACACACTCGCCATAGCTACAGTAAATAAATCAGCAGTTTTATTCCTCAATGGCCTTGACCATACATACTTCGAATAACAGTTGATTACCATAAGGATGTACCTATGACCGTCATTTTCTTTAGCATATGGTTGCATTTCCATCAAATCCATTCGCCACAAGTCAGAAAATTCCGTCATTATTGTATTTCGATGCGCCGGCTTGTGTATTTCCTTCACAACCTGTCATTTTGCATTACTCATATTACTTCTATATGGCTTCTTCGAAGTGATGAAGATGAGGATTCAATTCGCTACTGTTCACGTGCAGGTTTAACGACTGACTGTTGAACTTCAATAACTCGCTCAGTAAAAGTATCAACCAACTCGGTTATAACACTAATTCGCTTTTCCACATCACTCAATTGATCAGCTAATGCAAAATTTCACGATAATTGTTTCTAAAAATGGGGATGTGCTTCAATAGCCAGCGATTGCGGCAGCGGCAGCAAATGAATAATCGTAATGCATTTGGTGGAGGATATGATCTCTTAAAGAAGAGAAAATCTAAAAGTCGATTCATTCCACGTATGCCTGACAAACGGTCAAGATATAGGCTGAGCGCTAGTAGTCTAAACTTTCTCAAATCCACTGGCTTGAAGGTGCGATATAAAAAATAGTATTAACATGGCAACCATCACCACAAGTGACATCCCAATCAATTTTCAAGATCATGTACTCGATATTGCAGACAGTTACATTTATATCGACGGGAAGTTCACACCATCTGATGTCACGAAGCAGTGCTACATATCCAATAAAGCCCTCGCCTTCCTCTTCGACGGAATTCGCTATGAAATGGGTGGAGAGCAAGTGGCCGTTGAGCGGACTAATGAGCGAATTTTGACACCAGAATAATCCTGAGAACTTTGACCCATATATCTATAAATCAATTTGGCTTTGGATGAAGTCACTTCGTGAATAATTTTTTCCGTGAAATATTCTGTGACACGTTTTGGAAGCCATGATTCAAAAGAAGTATTATTTTCCTCGTCCAAAAAAACTACTTGAATGAATTTACCATATCGCGTGGACAGCATCGACATCTCAATTTTATAATATTAATCAATAGTTGAAGATATCAAAGGTCCCTGCTCCATAGCCTCAGTTTGTTGAATTATTGCAGAATCGATTTTTTCGATATTGAATTTCATAAGATCCAATTCGAATATAGTGGAATTATAGTATGGAAATATAAAATATGTTCACCTGGATTACTGTGTATATTCCTGACGTAATACTTTCTGTCACTTTGCAGTATTACTTTCGATCATCTATTCGAGTACTTTGAGTTATTCAAACTGAATGTGAAATGGCGATCCTCCGAACATTTATAGAACTTGGTTGAAGGAGAGGGGGGTACTTCTTTACCACAAGCTGGGTGTCCGAAAACACTACTCCAAAGTAACCTCGTCTCCGTCGTGTGACGTAGTTGAAGGTCATTCAAGGTCAGACACAAAATACTCCCCCAAAGTCACCTTGTCTACGTTGTAAAGTGTAAGTTCAAAACTTCAAGAAAGTCACGTAACTGGCTCGAGTTCAGTCAAAGTCAAAGTCGCCTTGTTAAAAATATTGGAAGTGAATGAAGGTCATTCAAAGTCGAACCTAAAACACTACCCCAAAGTCACCTTGTCTGCGTTGTGTGACGTAGGTCAAGGTCGTTCGACGTCAAACTCAAAACACCTCCTCAAAGTCATCTTGGCTACTTCGTGTGACGTATGTAGAGGTCAATTCAAGGTTAAAAGTGGTATGGGAGGTTTTAAAATCGGCTTAAACCAACTATTCGTTTCACTTCGTGTAGC